TTATTCCCCTCTCCGGTCCCCCCAGATGAATAGCCCTTTCCCCTTGCCATGCTGAATAGGCCAGGTGACTCCGAAACCGGCCACCCAGCAGATGCTTCCGCAGTACCAACTGTTCTGAACCCCCCACCTCATCTCCAGCTTTTTTTTTTTTTTTTTTCCCTTTTCCCCCCCCCCCCCCCCGCGCCCCCCCCCCCCCCCGTGTCCTAGCAATCTAGGCTGCCTGGCACATGCTGCAAGCTGCAGTCCCACTGGAGTGATATTGTGATGGAAATGAGGGAGGGGATGCAGGCAGAACTGCACAGATTTACAGCACTCTAAGGGTTTCCATTAAAATCCTTGACAACTTGTTATTTATGAGTAGACCAACAGCTCTTCTAATATCCAGGGCCTAGACCCCATTCACTTCAATAATGCTGGTTTGGAATAAATGAGCCAGAGGATGGAAACCAGTTCTGTTAGTATAATGGAGGAGGCTAATAGCTGTTTAGAGAAAACAACTGATGTAATTCTGGGACCCAATCCTTTCACCGACAAAACAATAAAGGTTCGATTCTTCAGTGCATTTCACGTAGTGATTTAATTCAGTACAAAGAGGGTGATAGATGGCAGCGTTTGGATTTCGTGCCGTTATATACCCACTAAGCACTCTCTATTTGTACTAGTGCACTGGAGATAGAGGGGCTCATTGACTCCTGTGCAAGCAGCAATAGGTCGGTCTGGATCTCCACAGCAGAACAAAGATAAACAAGCAACAACCCCCCCCTCTGCGTGAGTGTAAAAGATCTTCATTCTTCCGTCTCGCAGGGCCTGTGAGCATCTCCTTCCCCACATTTTTCTGAGCTGCCCCACCTAAAGCAGCCTGGCAGTCCATCTAAGTGTCATTTTAGAACATTTTTTTTCACCATTCCCTTCTCTACTCCCTTCCCCTTCCCATCACTGACATGGCAAATCCAGAAGCACCTCCACTTACTGACCACAGGACTGATCCCTGACATAAGGACTTTGATGATCAAAACACTTTAAACCCTGGATGTGCATTATGCTGCTGTACAGAATTATCGATCTTTTCTGCTTTGTCTTAAAATCAAACTGACAAGTTGATTACTGAGTATAACCACTCAATTGCTGGCTTGTACACGGCTTTCCCATTCCTCCCTTGTTCACCTGCATCTTGTCTGTTTACATTCCTTTTGTCAGGAATCTTTTTATTTCCTTTCTGCTTCCTCCACTCTCCACGGGAGCCTCATTAAGGTGAAGCGAAGAGAAGCAGCAGCAGCAGCAGTGATCCCAGACCGCGTTCTGCAGGGCGAAAGACAGGCAGAGGCAGCACTGCCAGATGGACCATTGCTCCGTGCCTCCACCTCCCCCTCATCTGCACTCCCAGCCTTGTGTTTTTGGAGGAGATTGACAATGCTGAAGGTCCAAATTGTTCTGCAGGAGAAGGAAAGAAGACATGGAGAGATGAAGAGGAACCAGGAGGAGGAAAGAGGCGGTTCAAGTGAGGAAGGGGACTGTGGCTGTACGAATCGCTTCCTGAAAGAAGCTGAGCCGCCAGTCGGTTATTTCAGCATCCTTTCAGATACTCTGACTTCCAGGGCTGAAATAGTTTGGGAATCTGGAATCTGTAACCATCGCCCTTGTGGCCAGTCTCTTTTTTCTGCACCAGAAATAACTTTTCCCAGGCAAAACAATGGTCTTTCCTGTGAAATGAACTGACATCAGTCGGTATGTGATGCCCTCTGTGACCACAGCAGCATGTCTTTGCAGCTGAGAGAAGTTATCATCTGGTTTGCGTTTTACACATGCAGAAACGTACCTGTTAATTGGAAAATGATGTGCCATGGACAGGACAGATATATTCCAAATATATTCTGTGTGAATGGGAGAGAAGGCCCAAGGGAAGAACCAACTTTTTGGAAAAGGAAGGCAAAGGCTCTGACAGAAATGAGGGAGAAGCAAAAGGACCAAGCAAAGGGAGAAGAGCTCTCCGAGGCTGAGTGGGTTTGCCTGGATGGGGGATCAGAAAATGCTACGCTGCATCGCAGCAGTGATCGCTCACGGAAATCAAACTGGGCCAGTTCCTAAGCTGGACCAAACAGATAAGCCCTGTAAAGGTTTAAAAAGATATATTTTCACCGAGTATGACTTCTTCCTTTTAGATACGTTTCTACTGAATGTCCATTCAGATGCTACATGAGTTTGGGTATAAATTGTGCCAAACCCCTATTGTCCCTTTTGAAAATTTATTTCAAGGTCCTTATCCAATACATAGCAATGTGATGTTGGATCTCATCCAAAGTATAACTATATCTAATTATCAGCCATTTGAGCTACTTCTGTATTAAACCATAAAATTGAGATAGGATTGAAACCTCTTATGATTCCAAAGGCTAAATGCAGCAGTAACATAAATAACGCTGTAAATTATAAGCAAAATGAAAACTTGGTCAGAAAATATATGATGTAATTTGTACTTGGGGTAAATTTGTCCCTGGCTGCCCAGGGTAGGGAAGGTATGACCTGCATCAAGCCCAAGTGTATGGTTGGGAGTCTGAATCTGTGTCATTATTACAGCAAACAAATGACAGACCTTAAAATACTTCAAAAAGCCAGCATCCTCATGAGATTTATTGCAGTCTGACCCCCTCTGCCGGTCACCCGCTCGCTGCCTGTGTCCCAGGGCCGGCACTTCAACATTGGCGCCGAGATTTGTAGAAATGATAGGAGAAGGCAAGTGGAAAATTATAGGTACCAGCGTAAAAGGGATGGAGAGGCAATTCGGGGGCACTGACGCTTGGCACTGGTAGCTCAAGGACATAGATAATATCGTGACATAGCTCTAAGACCAGGTGGCAGGGTTTGGGTTTAGGAAACAACCCGCTAAAGGCAATACTAGCAACAGTGTACAAAGGAAAGAGGTCTGGTAACTGGCATCGGGGCGAACTACCAGGCTTTTAGTCAAAATTGTGTTTGTGTCTCTCCATGTTTGATCTGCTTCTGTCAGGATGTAAAGCAGTAGAAGAAGAAAAATATAATTTAGAATGAGGGCGTACGGGAAGAGGTTGGGGGGGAAAGCATTTTCTTGAAAAACAATGGGACTCTTCCTGAGGAAACAAGTGTTCAGTTAAAAATTAGCCATGGAGTGTTTGACTGGCTAAATTAGGATAAAGCTATGCCAGGAATGTTGAGATTTAGTAATCAATAATGTCAAAACATGTACAATACCAAGTATTTTTAAATAATATTTTATCGTTCCGAGTGAGGTTTTCAGCTTTTTCTCCTAGCCTAGGGAAAAAAAGGTGTTGATACACTGGACGTTCCTATGACAGAAGAAATTCAGCCAGCTCTAGGTTTTTAGACAGCGCTACTGGGAACGAATAGAAACAAATAGATCCCGTCCAGCTCATTTTACTTTCTTGATTCATTCTCGTTATCCTGTACTATCCATTGGCCCTCATGATATATTCCCATGCTGTGAGGATCAACCAGTTAAAGATGTTAAGCAGAAACAGTCCCACCACCCATAGCCACACCATGTCGCATGCTAGAAGTTATTCAGAGACGTGCTTAAGTACTTAGTTAGAAGAAGCTTCAGAAAATATTTGAAAGCCCGCAAATAGCTCCCTTAAGACCCCGTCAATTCCTCCAATTTATTTAAGAATGGACAGACAGCTTTTTCAAAGATTTTCTCCATATAGCTTTTATTTTTGTTTGCTGTTAGTTTCTTTTACAGTTTTTTTTTAAATAATGCTTATCAGTATAGTACGTCTCAAGACAGAAATACTCTATTTAAACCTAGATTGATAAAAAGAATCAAAACAATAAAACATTTTGAAGTCTTTGTTACTCTAAATATTCTTGAAACTTTACATAAACTTCTTAGGATTTTCTATTGCTTCAGATATTCAGCCAGAGTCTAATGCAGCTGGATAATAAACCTGTACCCATTTGTGTTTGCATGGAAAAAAGAGCTGTTAATCATAAACTGAAAATCCCAAACCAGAAATAAAAATAGTAACTGGATAACCTGTGCATAAGGCATTGTAATATCCCAAGGCACTTAGTTCTGAATCACTTGGTTTGGTTTGAGAACAGGCTCTTCTTGTTAAATCAAGAAGGTTTAGAAACATAGAAGAGAAATAATCCAAATTTGTCATTTCCTTTAAATGAGGATGCCCAGTTTCTGATTGAGACACCATTTATCCTCTGTGCTGCCAAGACAACTTGGCTGCTGCACTTCAACGGGCTCCACGCCATAGCGATCTTCTCTTTCAGAAACATCAGGTTTTCCTGAACACGGTGCATGTGCCTCACCCTAGAATAAGCTGTGCTGCCTACTTTGCTGGAAGGACGGCCCGAGACCTTCAGATCTGCAAAGATATTCGGTCTCTTCATAAATATTTATCTTTCACTTGCTTTACAACAGATGGTGAAAGAAAAGATGTATTTTTACTTAGCTTTTTTACTTTTTAATAATTAATTCTGCATGCCAGAAGTTGAGCAGGACTGCAGGTGTGATCCTAAAAGATTATAAAATGTTTCTGATCTTTGGTTAGTAATCACAGTGCTATATTAAAGAATAAAACCATTATAATAGATATGTATCAGCCAAGCACAGAAAACTGCTGTACTACATCTCATCACTTGGATCCCTACCTGAATGAACAGTTACATGGCCAATGCTGTTCTAAAGAACTGGTATCACATTCAACTAAATTACTAATTATAGGATTTGTAACTTGTTTAACAAACATATATACTTGATCCAAGACAGAGGACTTAAGTTTGATGACTGATTTGGTTTCAGGCTGTGGATGTCTGACCTGATTTATGTGTTGGTCATATGCTGCATGGAACAGAAAGCTCAGAGTTACCATACTAGAGGCATAGTCTGTCTTGTCTGGGTGATCTTAGCATGAATCAAGCCTATATAGTGATTTTGGTCTACTCTATACTGCAGCCTCCACCACTTATTCTACAGAGCAGATATGAATTCAGAATTACTCCAGGCCATGACAAAACATATGGTCATCAAACACCTGCTTGTTGGACTTTTCAAAGGTCTCACTGCAGAGCGGGCACTCCAGAAGATGGCTCTGCACATGGGCCTCAAACTGACTTGTTTCAATATCGTCTGGAAAGACATCATCACACATGGGGCATTTCCTTATAGAAGCCTGAAGTACAAAGCAAATGCAAATAAAGTCAGTTTAAAAATTAGATTCAAAGAGAAGAAACAGGAAAATTTAGTAGTCAGATGTTATCACTTTTGGACAAGTCTTTCTGACTTTTAACACTCTCAAGTTTTCAGATGTCTCCAAGCTTCTCTAAATACCACTTAAAAGACAAGAGCTTCTGAGAGGTACTCTGCCTTTCCATCCTACATTGCACATGTCCATGTCTCCAATATGAAATAAGGTATTTAGCAGCTGCATGCTGCTCATTCTGACATTAAATGCTGCCAAGAGCTGGTCCTCAAAGATTAAGGTCAACAGAGTTTCCTTTCTCTTCCTTAAGACAACTCTCATTAATTCCACACATTAAGCACACGTGGCTCCCTTTTGTTGTCCACTAAACCAGCATGTAGACAATTGGTTACAGAGCTGAACTTGGAGCTCTTTATTTCAAACCACTAATTCATGTCCATAAACCACTAATTCACGTCCAGTCGTGTTCACTTTACTTACATCTGCAGCTCCTGCCTCCAGGTTTGCTTCTGCAACTGGAAAAAGAAGTCATCGATTTAGCCACAACAAAATGATTAACAACGTAATGTGCTGATAACTAGTAATTCTTGAAACACGAAGATGTGACTCTGGATCTAAACCTCTATATTTAGGACTATGGAAACTGGACATACGCCACAGAACTAGCTGTCTCACAGCTGAATAAACCAGCTAATAGTTGTCTCTCTTGGCAGAAAACGAACAGACAGCTGATCACTTAAGTCAACTCTTAACACCCGGCAGCATTTTGCAGCTGCCAAGTCATTTGCACACATGCAAAACTGCACAGAGGTGCTGCTAGTATTGTCTCTTCTACAGGATTCGAGAGGGAGGATAATTTGCTGAGACTCTAACTGCCATGTATTTGCGGTTTCAGACAGAATGCCAAGTAATCTCACCACAATATGGATTTCCAAACAGAAGGCCTCCTACTTTAGGAGCTGGAATCGGAGCATGAGCTTGTGAAGCAACCGAGAAGGAAGAAACCTCTCCAGCCTGCGAGAGATGCCTCAGGAGACCGTCATTCTCTTCCCGTAGTTTCTGCAGAGGGACAGAACGGCAGAATGAATTTCCAGAAGCTCAGGAGACCATTCCAGAGAAAAGTCATGCTCTGCACTAACACAGATCCTCTTATATCAGAATGAAAATTACTATGAAGTTCTTTTAGGTTGCTCAGTGTTTGTCCTGCTTGACCTAATGGAAAAGTGAGGTAAGAAAGCACCAGGATCTATTCTGTGGCCTGCCCGGAAAGGCAGACAAGACGATTGGAATAGAGTAATACACTTTAAAAGACAGAAGACTATCCTGAAGTCATGCAGAGTAAGGAACAAAACTGAGCAGTCATTGCTTAGACTGGACAAAAAGGCTATGTCCATTTAAATGAGTAAGTCCACTCAGTTCAGTGGTGTCAGAATTAAGCTAACATTGGGAGTTTTTGGAAATCCCCACGCTACGATGGGTAAACCAGTCTTTTCTGTGGTGGAGGAAAAGGTGCGAGTTTTTGGACCCTTACTCTGTACAGTACAGACGTGGCAGCAACATACTGCGAGGGTGCGCACACGGCCATGTGTACGTGCCCGCAGACAGCACGGCAGCCTGGCTTTAGGCGATGGTCCACGTGCAGGCACAATTAGTGATCCGGTTGGTAGAAGGGTTAATGGAACTGAGCACCAGACCGAGAGATTGGCGTTGTATTCAACACAGGAGAAAGGCAAGGGAATTGTGCCAAGTTCTCACCTGATTTTCCTCATCAGCTTCATTCTTTTTTGCCTGCAGAATCTGATACAAGCGCTTCTGCTCCTCAAGTTCTTTCATTAAGTCATGGTTTTGTTGCTATGAAGGAAGAGTGTTATTTGGTAAATCATAGGAAATCGGCAGACAAACGGATGCCAGCTCCAAGCACTGGAGCTGTCATACACTAGCTGCCTCATGCTCCATTTATTGCCAACTAATAACCCTCCACTTTCAATGGGGGTCTTACCATTTCATGGCTTGTCATCTAGGGTATCTGCATGTCACCACTCACGCTCTGTATTTTCATTACAGCATGCGAGATGACACATGACCTCTGAAGGGGACATATGACAGGTCAAACCAAGAGGGAGGCTGAAGAAAAGGAACTCTTACAGCTGAAAAATCCACCCTGGCAGGTGAGAGCTATCCAAGTATGCCAGGTTCCCTGGTGCTGTGAGACTTGTGTGCATGGTGGACAGCCAGTGCATCCTTAGGGAATAATCTTTTAGCTGCCTCTTGAATTAAATCAGTAAATTAGTTAAGCTAGAGTACTTGGGGATTCTGCAGTCATTCTCAAAGTATTCCTTTAAGAATCCTGAACATTTGGCATCACAGCGGAGGTAATCACATCATCTATTTTAGGCATCTAATTTTCAATGCCAAAGTCAGAGTAGAGCCTTCAGAAGCTTCCTGAGTAGCACATACGGAGAGAGAAGCACCT